AGCTTAATTATTTCTCACAACAGCAGTTTCACTCTTCCATCCATCTCCTCAGCCTAACCCTAAGTTTTGTAAGAGATCTGATGAGTCAGTGCCAACAACAGATATATTAAAATAACTTCCCCCTACTGACAGGAAGAAACTTAAAAGGTCTGAAAGATACTATTATAAATTCTACTCAGCAGGCAAAGCAATTGTAGTTTTTAACGTACTAGGCCTAATTATCCTAAGCAAGATTATTTTTTTTAAGTTTTTAAGTAATTTCTACATATATGGTGGAGCTCAAACCGACGACCCTGAGATCAAGAGTTACATGCTCCACTGAGCCCTCCCGGTGCCCCTAACCAAGATTTTTATAGAGAGCTGGCAAGATTTTAATTCAAACTACCAATGCCCTCTCTGAGGAACTATAAGATGGTTAGAAAATATAATCCAAAAAAATCACCTTTCCATCTTCTGCAAACTTCTTTAAAAAAAATTTTTTTTAATGTTTATTTATTTTTGAGAGAGAGACACACACACACAGAGTGTGAGTAGGGGAGGGTCAGAGAGAGAGGGAGACACAGAATCCGAAGCAGGCTCCAGGCTCTGGGCTGTCAGCACAGAGCCCGACGCAGGGCTCGAACCCACACACTGTGAGATGGTGACCCAAGCCGAAGTCAGCTGCTTAACCGACTGAGCCACTCAGGCACCCCAACTTCTTCTTTTTTTAAAATAAACCAGGCTTTGAGGGATTTTGAGGCTGTAGCTTAAACAAAGATACTCAAAGGGGCACCTGGCTGGCTTAATCAGTAAAGCATGTGACTCCTGATCTCAGAGTCGTAAGTTCAAGCCTCACATTAGGTGTAGAGGGAAAGGAAAGGAAAGGAAAGGAAAGGAAAAAAAGAAAACAAAGAAACTAACTCAGGATGGGGCACACAAGATGTAGTTATTAAGAGCATGAGAAGGAAGAACATAATCTCATCTAATGAACCTCGGAGGGAGAACCCAGGGTAGCACGATGAACTCACCTGAGAATCTAGCCAAAAGACTCTGGACACATTCCCAGGTTTGTTTAAAAGTGAATGCAAATGTAGGTTGCCAAACGAGAGTAATGTCTGTAGTAGTCTCTTAGCAGATATTAGGGTTTTCAGCTAATAATACTAAGAGAAGTCTTTTTCACAATCATACTATTTCTTTTTGCCCACAATTTGTTTACTATCTTTTACTTAAAGTGCTTCATTGGAAACAAAATCCAGCTTGCACTGGAATGATACCAACTCCCCTCACTGTCCACTTCATTAGCTAAGTCCTTCCCTACCTCTATTACATACATGTTCCTGGCCAGAAGATAAACTACCCTCAAACTCCTCCACCTGTCGGCACGTATCAGAGACAGAATTGTTTTAATAATTTAGGGGGAAAATTTACTTTTCATGGTCTGCCTAAATATTTCAATGAAATCTTAACCATTCCTGATCCAAATATGAAATTTTTGTACAGAGAAGAATAATTTTGAACAGTCTAAATAAACTATCCAATATAAAAGTCTAAAAAAAAAAGAGAATAGTGACAACCCAATATCACAAGGCTAGGACCCTTGTGATCAGATTTCTAGCTATATGTTTATGTCAAACCATTTACCTAAAAAATATTTATGGAGTGCTTAGGGTGTCAGTTACTCTTCCCGCACATAAACTCTCTCAAACAAATGAGAATTATCACCAGAAACTTAGGTTCTTAACAGAGGAAGATCAGAAAAGGAGTATCCCAGTTTCTTCAATACTCTGAACCTGTAATGAGCAAACAAGTCAAGTACTTTCCTTACTGTTAACTTTTTGATAGCTTATATTTTACATAGCTGCTCTGCACTATTCAAAGAGCTAAAAGTTCAGCAATGTAAAAATCAAAATAAGCCTCAAATCAAACCTCATGCACTGTTAGTGGGAATGTAAATTGGAGCAACCACTGAGTAAAACAGTATAGAGGTTCCTCAATATATTAAAGATAGCATTACCATATGATCAAACAATTCTATTACTGGGTATTTACCCAAGGAAAATGAATTTGAAAAGATATACTCACCCCTGTGTTTACTGCAACATTATTTATAAAAATTTTTTAATGTTCTTATTTATTTTTGAGACAGAGAGAGACAGAGCATGAGCAGGGGAGGGGCAGAGAGAGAGGACACAGAATCTGAAGTAGGCTCCAGGCTCGGAGCTGTCAGCACAGAGCCCGACGTGGGGCTCGAACTCACGGACTGTGAGATCATGACATGAGCTGAAGTCGGACGCTTAACTGACTGAGCCACCCAGGTGCCCCTATTGCAACATTATTTATAACAGCCAAACTACAGAAGCAACCCAAGTTTCTACTGATAAGTGAATGGATGAGGATATGCTATACATATATAATGGAATAGTCAGCCATAAAAAAGAATGAGATCTTGCCATGTGCAACAACATGGGTGGACCTACAGGACGTTAGGCTAAGTAAAATCAGGCAAAGAAAAACAAATATCACATGATTTCACTTACAAGTTGTATATAAAAAGAAAACAAACAAAAGACCTTTAAAAACAAAGAACAAATGTTGACACAGAGGAGGTGGGTGGGGGTATGGGTGAGATAAAGGGGATTAATAGCATAAAGTATACAGAAGCAGAATCACTACGTTGTACAGCTGAAACTAATGTAACATTGCATATCAACTATATTCAAATTTTAAAAAGATTTAAAATTCTTTTGACATTTAAAAAGATTTATTTATTTTGAGAGAGAATGCAAATGTGAGGCAGGAGGTGGGGCAGAGAGAAAAGGGGACAGAGAATCCAAAATGGATTCTGTGCTAAAAGCAGACAGCCCGACAGAAGGCTTGAACTCACGAACCGTGAGATCATGGCCTGACCTGAAGTTGGACACTTAACTGACTGAGCTACCCAGGTGCCTCTAAATTCAATAGGAAAAAAAAAAAAAAAAAGAGACTGATACAAACTTCCAGTTATAAAACAAGTAAGTCATGGATATCAGTAGTATAGCATAGGAAATATAGTCAATAATACTGTAATAACATTGTATGGTGACAGATGGTGACTACACTTATGGTGGCAAGTACTGAGCAATGTATAGCATTGTCCAACCAATACGGTATACGCCTGAAATTAATGTAACACTGTATGTTAATTATACTTCAATAAAAACAAAACAAAAAACAAACAAAAATTCTAACAACAAAAAGTAAGCCTCAAATCAAAAGACACACACATATACAAAACGGCTGTCAGTGTATTTAAAAAGCACTTAACCTCATTCATAATTAAAGAAGTACAAATAAAAACTAGACATGCCATCTTCATCTAGGGAAAAAAAAAATTTTTAAGATTGGTTATCTACTTTTTATGATAGGGAGCCCAAGTATGCTTCCACACTCCTAACTGGTAGAAGTCTAAGTTGATGTATCCTTTTGAAGACAGGTATTCCTTTTGATCAAAGAATTCTACTGTTAGGAATTTTTCTTTCAAATATACTGGCAATGAGATTGCAAGAGTATATGTACAAGATGTTCACTGTAACATAATTTTTAACAGTAAAACACCTGGGAATAAATGGTCCAGAATAGGGAACTGGCTGTGTAAAATTAAAGTACAGGAATACAATGGAATACTATTCTAAAACAGAGGAATAAGGCAAATCTTTATGTACTGAAATGTCACAAGGTAAAATGTTAAGTCAAAGAAAGGAAGTCATAGTCTGTAGAGTATAATTCCATGGAGAAAAAAGGAAAAAAGATAGTCATAGATGGTAAGAAAATGTGTAATTAAAAATTTCTAAAGAATTTCCAAGAATAAGTACCTCAGGGGATAGAGGTAAGGTGGCGAGGAGAAGAGATAATTTAGAACACTACTTTCTGTACAGATACTCTTTATTGTCTGAATCCTCACCAGAGTAGGTTTCCTTTCTTTATTTTAATTTTTTATCAGTCTTGTGATGCTGTGAAATACCTATTAAATTACAAGCTTACTGAAATTTAAATATGTGATAACTAGAAGAAATAAATTTATTTCCAAAACTTATTTAATAGATAAAGAACTGGAACATCAACTTCTACAGCTTAAGGTCATGCTGTTTATGAAGTACTTTCGGCAATTAAAATGAGGGCGATTAAAGACCAAGAAAAATAATAAAAAGGGCAAAGTAGCTGCAAAGCCCAAGCTTATAGAATATTATAGTTATCTTCTTGACAAAATTATCTTGGAAAAAAGATCTAATTTTTACCGATTAAAAAAAAAATTTTTGTTTTTAATGTTTGTTTATTTTTGAGAGAAAGAGACAGAGTGTGAGTGGAGGAGGGTAGAGAGAGAAGGAGACACAGAATCCGAAGCAGGCTCCAGGCTCTGATCTGTCAGCACAGAGCCTGATGTGGGGCTTGAACTCACAAACTGTGAGATCATGACCTGAGACGCAGTCAGACGCTTAACCGACTGAGCCACCCAGGTGCCCCTACAGATTTCTTTTTTTTTTTTTTAAAGGATTTTTTTTTTTTAATTTTTTTTTTCAACGTTTTTTATTTATTTTTGGGACAGAGAGAGACAGAAAGAGACAGAGCATGAACGGGGGAGGGGCAGAGAGAGAGAGAGACACAGAATCGGAAACAGGCTCCAGGCTCTGAGCCATCAGCCCAGAGCCTGACGCGGGGCTCGAACTCACGGACCGCGAGATCGTGACCTGGCTGAAGTCGGACGCTTAACCGACTGCGCCACCCAGGCGCCCCTCTTTTTTTTTTTTTAACACAGAACCATGTAAATTATTTTTATATGTGAGTACATTGAGGCTCAACAATCAATTGTACAAGTAGTTTCCTAAAACTTATCAAGTTAGGACCAGAAATACCAGGAAAAAATGTCGAGAAGTGAAAAGCAGAAGAGGGGATAGAAAATAGAATTAGAAATGGGAGTAATGTCTGTTAGTATAAGCAAGAAAAGGGTGACTGTAGAGAAAGTCAATCCCATAGTAATACTATACCTAACAGCTGGCTGTGTTCCCCTGTGATGGAGTTCTGACTCGGGTCTGAAAAACAAACAATTGAAAAGAAAAGAAAAAAATGAATGACCAAAACAAATAATTTCTTAAAAATCAGCAACAAAAGTCAACCAAGGAAATAAGCAAAAAAAACCCCAAAAACCAAAAACCAAAAGTTTTTTAGTGATCAAAATACATTAATGAATGGATAATAAAAACAGAATAAACTATTTTAAAAAATAATCACACAGCTTCTTTGAAAAGTTAACTAACAGAATTACCATGAGACCCAGCAATTCCACTCTTAGGCATATACTCAAAAGAACTTAAAACAGGGACTCAAACAGATATTTATATGACAACGTGTATAGGAGCATTGTTTACATTAGTCAAAGTGGAAACAACCCAGTGTCCTTCAACAGATAAATGGATAAACAAAAATGTGGTATATCATACAATGGGATATTATTCAGCCCTAAAGAGGAAACGAAATTCGGATACGTGCTATAACATGGACAAACCTTGAAAATATGCTAAGGGAAATGAGCTAAAAGCAGAAGGACAAATATTGTATAATTCCATTTAAAAAGAAATAACCAGAAAAAAGTAAACTAACAAAACAATCACATAAATTTGACGAAGCAAAAATAGTTCCGTAAAGTAGAAGGATGATTCAGGGCTTACGACATGGGCTACATTTTCTCTTTAATGACAAAGGAACATAATGGCCATAGCAGCTCAAAGTCAAGACATAAGTAAAGCACTCATTACTAGATATGTCCTGATTCGACTTCATGATAAAATAACTAAACAGGCTTTTAGAAATATGTTTCTTCAGTAATCTATAATAAAACTAGTGGCAATAAGCCAAGTTCCTAATGCAAGAGGTATTGACAATCACCATTTAACAACTAACCACTTGCTTATTTTAAAGGCTTGAAAAGCATTAAGGGCTAAATATGGAAGACTTTGAGCTCCAGTTTCCTCAAAGATTAAGTGTCTTGAGATATGAGGATTATATCTGGCTTCCCTGTGTCTGGGAAACAGAAATAATTTTAGATGAGGGTGTCTGTGAATTATGGGGGGAAAGTTAGTATTTTCTCCAAGTATGATGTCAGCAACAAACTACATAAAAGTACCTGTGATTTTTGTTAACGATAAATATCTGGTATTTTCATATCACATTATAATTGTTGCATGCATTTCATAATATGATTTAGGTGCAATACTACTTTGAAATTATGGTAGTTATTAAATGGCTTCTAGATCTTTTTCGATGCATTGATAAAAAAGCACTTATATTAGATCATGAATTTAATATTTTGATAATTGTATTTCAATATAATAGGGTTCTTTAAAAAAAAAAATCTATTCTTGAGAAAGGGAGAGAATGTATGTGTGAATGGGGGAAGGGCAGGGAGAGAGGGGGGTAGAAAGAATCCCAAGCAGGCTCCGCACTGTCAGTGCAGAGCCCGATGTGGGGCTCAAACTCCTGAACTGTGATATCATGACCTGAGATGAAATCAAAAGGCAGATGCTCAACCAACTGAACCACCCAGGGGTCCCTAACAGGGTTCTTTTTAATGCTATACCTATATATTTATATGTGTGTATAATCCTTTACACATTAAAAAAGGTTACTCTGAAAAGGAATTTGTAGACTTCAGACTGCCAAAAAGGTCCCAGATACAAAAAAGATTTAGAATTACTGTTTTAAACAAAATTCAAATAATATTTTCAATGGTGCTCATAAATGTTTTTTACATATAATTAAATATAACACTTTAAGCATCCCAGACAGAAAGAACCACTCAGACTCCTTAACAAATTCTGGTCTGACGAACAGCACATACTCTGATCGAGGAGGAAAGAAACCTGATTGATACAACTGAAGTTTCAAATGCTATACGAAAATTTTAAAATATATTTTTAGATTTTCTTCCTTAATTTGGTTTTGAAAAAGAGATATTCTCAGATATTTTCCCCAACATACCATCAAGTGGGTTGTCAAGTTTTTAAATTTAAACTCATCTTATTTCCCATATATATAAACAATATGGGTTTGCACATGAGACAAAGCAGGAATAACAGTTCTATAGTACATTGGTGTATTAGATTGATCCTGTTTCTCCCTCTCTCATACATGCACACATAACACACACACATATAACTGATAAATTAGGCCCTGTCAATACAGAGAAGCAGGTGTATAGGTAGCCAAGAAAGAAGAACAGAGAAAGAATCACAGAATTTTAGAACCAGAAGAACTATGGTCATCATCTAGATCTATTCTAGTGATTCCAAAGGAAAAGTTGGAGAGGAGCTATCAGCATCATTTATTTTTCTCCTTAAAACCATACCAACAACCCTTCTCAAGATTCTGATTCCCAGGGGTGCCTGGGTTGGCTCAGTCAATTAAGCCTCTGACTTCAACTCAGGTGATGATCTCATGGTTTATGGGTTCAAGCCCTGCAGGGGGCTCTGTGCTGACAGCTCAGAGCCTGGGGCCTGCCTTGGATCCTCTGTCTCCCTCTCTCTCTCTGCCCGTCCCCTGCTTTCTCTTTCTCTTTCTCTCTCTCTCTCTCTCTCTCCCCCCTAAAAACACACATTAAAAAATAAATAATAAAAAACAAAATCACCAAAAACTATTTATTTAATTTATTTAATTATTTTTTTCAGTGTTTATTTATTTTCCACAGAGAAAAAGACAGTGTGAGCCGGGGAGGGTCAGAGAGGGAGATACAGAATCCAAAGCATGCTCCAGGTTCTGAGCAGTCAGCACACAGCCTGATGTGGGGCTCGAACTCACAAACTGTGAGATCATGACCTGAGCTGAAGTTGGACGCCCAACCAACTGAGCCACCCAGGTGCCCCAAAAGAGTATTTAAAAAAAAAAAAAGATTCTGATTCCCAGATGCTGTCATTAATGGGAATGCCTTTTATGTATGCCAGGATGGAGCAAAGGTGAGAACCTCTTAATACTTATAGTCAAGAAGATGAATGGTTGGTTAGTAAGTGGCCAAAGACATGGCACACTATTGCCAAAAGAGAAAGCTCACAGAGACAGTCTTGATCTTTTGGGAACTTAGGTTCATGCTTCTTGATACTCCGTAATTCTAACTTTTTTTGTCCGAAAATGAAGCATAATAGCCTAAAACAAGTAATTTGGAATTGCCAGGGAATCTATGAATAGAAGAACAACTCAGATAACTCAGGCAGAATAGGTATGATTTTAGATGGGGGAAACAAATGATTTTCTTCTTAAACATTACCTCCTTCTATACTATCTACTTCCTTGCCTTCTGAGCTGTGCACACATGCCGTATGTACGCTTTCTAGTGAAGCCAGGACTCTTCCTTTGAACACCCTCTTGTATTTGAGATGAATAGAAATAAGTGTTTTGTTTAGTTCTTTATTCAACTTAGATTTTTGTTTTTAATTTTTTATAATTGAAGGAATGCAGGGCAACCTTTACTTGATACTTACTTGGTAATTTGAAGACTAACCTCCAAGAACCTGCAAATACTTCACTGATACATGTAAAACTTGAAACAAGGGCAAATCTACGAGTAAACAGGTTCATGAACCTACTAGAATGAAACTAGCCATGCATGTAAAAATCAGAACTAGTAAATGGTTTTAAGTTGAGGGGTGTTTCTGAGTGTGCAATCCAAATTGTGTAATCAATCTGGTAACACTGCTCTGAGATATGTCTAGGCATCCTTCTATTGTCTTATGTCTGAACTCTCCCATTTAATATTTTTCCTGCCTACGTCTGGTGAGGGCACACCTAAGTCTGCCGAAGAATGGGAGTTGTCCTATACGTTACTCAAAATGACATTTATTTTAAAACTGAATTACTTCCTGCAATAGAAACAACTTGCCAATAATGTAACTATTTTTACATTTGATGGCCTTCATAAACTAAGCTATTCATAGGTTATAACTCAAAAGGTTATACACATTATACTCAAAAGCCTATGATACTCTACCAGTCAAAATGGCAGTTGAAATAGAAACATGTACCTTTTCACAAGTAAATGCAATCAGAAAAATGACCTCAAAGTATTTCCTTGTAACAGTAATGATATAGTAGTTTTACAAATGGGCACTTGCTCAATAATTTTATCCTGGGTAAATGGTAAAGAGTGGAGATTTTATTTAGTTTCTTACCATATGCCTTAAAGAATAGAGAGAAAAATGATTGTGGGTGGTACTCGCTTGCAAAACTGCCTCTGTAAATAGTTTTTCTGAAGAGCCTAATTATCTCCCTTGGTTTGCCCATAGCAATAGCCTTTAATCACTTCATCTACCATTCTTGGTAGAGAATTTGAAGCAAATAAAAGCTAGCCTGTATCTTGCATCTAAAACTCAGTGTAGGCTTTAGTCTTTACTAAAGATAGAATTAGTAATTTCATTAAAAAACACAATCAATAATGGGAACTGTTAGGCCTAATTATTTTAGAAAAGAAGTGGGCACGACCAAGTGAATACACATGAGGACAATTAGCTTATTATGCTACTGTCTATATTATCTAGACACACTTCAAAAACCTATTTCAGGATACAAAATATCTGAAAGCACCAGCCTTAACACATTCTTTAATTTTCTGGACTCCAACTTTCAAAAAACCAAAGTTTCTTAGCACCAAGAAAAACCATTTTGACTCAGTTAGGCAAAGCTGATTAAAAACGGAACACTTACTCTAACATTTCACACTTAGATTCTGCCTGTCTATATGGTTACTTATTGTGGTGGGGAACCCAAGGATGAAAACAAGTTGAAATAAGGTAAAATCTGAAGAAGCATATCCTCCTTATATACATTTTGAACTTACTGCAATGAGACCAGAGTGACATAGAAATATTTACATGTGATTAACTGGGCTTAAATAGATGGGTGAAAAACATAAAGCAATCTTGGTGAAATAATTTAGCTGTAAGGTGGAAATGTAAAGTAATGCATACAAAAGTTAATAAATTATTAGTTCTTTATGTTTCTAGTCTATCCAACAGTCAAAAGATCCTTACCTGAATTTTTATTATAA